CGCAGCCCCCCCTCCCCCTTGGTGGTATGGGGCACCCTTGCAGATGGACCTCGTCTACCACTGGCCGGTAAGCGTGGCCCATCTATGGCACTACAACACCAACACATAACACAAAGGGGTTACTGTCCCTTACCAGATAACCTATGGTGGTGGACCACTAGGCTAACTACACTAGTTACTGGGTGTAGCTACAACAGACAGGACACAAGCTGGGGTCCTCGTCCACGTGTTGGTGACGTCTTCTTGGATGTAGATTGTAGATCGTAGATTTTCAGATGACAGCCACGCTGAACCCCGGTCCCTGTGCGGACCCGGTTTATATGCTGCTGGATCGTGGCTGGCCCCACCCTTGACTACGACCACCTTCGAGAAACCTCTTGTCGTTTCTCGACTCTTCCTGTAGGATCTCACCCTGACACGTGACCACCCCCAAGTCCCTACCTGGGGCCCTTGTAGATCTTACTGGTCACATGCCTTCCAGGGTCAACCAGAGTGCCATGGCCTAGGGTAACCTCAACCCATGGCTGACACTCTCACACTCCCTCCTGTAGGAGTCAGCACTACACGCCATGCGTGGTGCCACTGCGCTATCCCAGCGCTCACTGAGCCCCCTCTAGGGCTGGTACTACACCCACCTATTCGGTGTCCGCGATGACAATGCATCGCACGCCGTGCCTCGTTAGAGCCGGCATTACACAGTGACACACACGATGTCGCTACATACGTGATGTCGGCGATGTGAGTACATCACACGCCGTGCCCCTCTAGGGCCGACACCACATAGTAACATCCGCGATGTCACTACAGTAGTATCAACTGACTATAGTAGTAACTATTAACTTTATTGTCGTATCTGCTGTCTATAGCAGTATCTGCTGACTCTAAAGCAGTATCTAGTGACTATAATCGTATCTACCGACTCTACAGCAGTATATACTGACTATAGTGTATCTGCTGACTGTAGTATTATATACCGACTCTATAGTAGTATCTACTGACTACAGTAGTAACTACTGACTCTACAGTAGTATCTACTGAATCTATAGTGGTATCTATTTACTCTATAGTAGTATCTGCTGATTATAGTAGTAACTACTAACTCTATAGTAGTGTCTACTGACTATAGCAGTGTCTGCTTACTCTATAGCAGTATCTACTGACTCTACAGTAGCATCTACCGACTCTGCAGTATTATCTCCCGACTTTACAGTGGTGTCTCCCGACTCTATAGTCGTATCTATCAACTCTACAGTAGTATGTACCGACTCTATAGTCATAACTACTGACTCTATAGTAGTATCTAGTGACTCTACAGTAGTTTCTACTGACTATAGTAGTATCTACCAACTTGATAGCAGTATCTACAATCACTACAGTTGTATATACTGACTATAGTAGTATCTACTATCACTACATTAGTATCTACTGTAATATTATACTATCACTACAGTAGTATATACTGACTGTAGTAGTATCTACTATCACTGCAGTAGTATATACTGACTGTAGTAGTATACTATCACTACAGTTGTATATACTGACGGTAGTAGTATCTACTATCACTACAGTAGTTTATACTGACTGTAGTAGTAGCTAATATCACTACAGTAGTATATACTGACTGTAGTAGTATCTATCACTATAGTAGTATATACTTACTGTAGTATCTACTATCACTACAGTAGTATATATTGACTATAGTAGTATCTATACTAACTCTACAGTAGTATCTACCGACTTTATAATAGAATATAACGATTTTATAATACTATACTCTTTGGTTCTTTCGGTAAAGTCACGTAGATCGAAAATTAATAGATCACGATATTTCGATAGCAACACAAGCAACCGTCATCAGGGGAAACAAACACAGCAGGAGAACTGCTGACGTATGAGAAAAAGCTGCTGCAACAAGAGTTTATATAAGCTTTTGGTGGGTCCAACCCAAGGGTAAGTGAGCAGAGCTAGAGAAGGAATTTGTACGTAAATGTAAGAGATTAGCATGTCAATGTGAGACGGCTCCAGCAACCGGGGTGTGCCAATGAGAAGATTAGCATGTCAATGTCAGGGAGCCGGGCAAAACGAAACCCGCAAGAGTAAGAGATACACATGGAGAGAGAGACACACACACAAAGAGACACACACAGAGAGACAACCCACAAACAGAGAGGGACATCCACATAGAGAGAGCGGGAAGTACCCGACGTTCCTCGGGCAAAAAATACATACACATCGACTTACACACACACAGACATCGACCCACACACATACAAACACATCGACTAATGCACTCGCACACATATGGACTTACACACAGACATCGACTTTAGACACACACAAAAAACAAAGATCCCCTATATAGCCTTAACAGACTGTAGGGGCAAGTGCTGTTAGCGAGCACCTATGAAGAACGGAACGGTACACGAGGGGTTGGGTGGCCAGCACCATGCCCGACCGCCTTTGTCTCCCTAGTGGAGATGTTTTTACACACTGCACCAGGTACTCATTTGAGGCTGAGTCGACGTAGGGTAGGCCCAGGACCAGTTCAGATAATCGTCACTGGTGTTGGCCGTGAGCGGGAATCGAACCTGTGTTGCCGGGATCATATCGCAGCGTGCTAACCGCTACACTATCGCTCCCCCATTAGACACACACACATGGAGTTGCACACACACATCGACTTGTACACACACAGCGACTCACACACACATCGACTCACACACACACACACACATGGCCTCACACATCGACGTATACACACTCACATCGACTCACACCCATCGACTCAGACACACACACATCGACTTGCACACACACAGCGACTCACACACATCGACTCACACACACACACACATGGACTCACACATCGACGTATACACACGCACATCGACTCACACCCATCGACTCAGACACACACACATCGACTTACACACACAAATGGACTCACACACACATATCGACTTACAAAACATACACATCGACTTAAGCGCACACATCGACTTACACACACAAACACATGGACTCTGAGACACACACACATTGACTCACACACACAACAAAGATCCCCCATATAGCCTTAACAGACTGTAGGGGCAAGTGCTGTTAGCGAGCACCTATGAAGGCCAGAACGGTACACGAGGGGGTGGGTGGCCAGCACCATGCCCGACCGCCTTTGTCTCCCTAGTGGCGATGTTTACACACCACACCAGGTACTCATTTGAGGCTGAGTCGACCTAGGGGAGGCCCAGGACTGGTTCAGATAATCGTCACTGGTGTTTGCCGTGAGCGAGAATCGAACCCGGGTCGCCAGAGTCGTAGTGCAGCGCGCTAACCGCTACACTACCGCTCCGCTCACACACACATCGACTGACACACACATCAACTCACACACACATCGACTCGCACACACATATGGACTTACGCACACTTCGACTTAAGCACACACTTCGACTTACACACATACACATCGACAAACATGCACATACATCGCCCCACACACACTCATCGACTTGCACACACACAGCGACACACACATGGACTTACACACACATCGACTTACACACACATGGATGTACACACACACACACACATTGAGGCAGACACGCACATCGACTCACACGCACACATGGACTTAGACACACACGTAATTATTTAAAAATGTACTAACTTGTGTTTTAAATTTTAGTTGTCTACACACACACACCACGCACACATTGACTAACACACACATCGACTGACACACACATATCGACTCACACACACACTAATGGACTCACACACACATGGACTCACACACGCACATAGAGCCACACACACACATCGACTTACACGCAGACATATCGACTTATACACACATCGACGCACACACACTAATGGACTCCACACACATGGACTCACACACACACACATCGATTCTCACACACATACACACATCGACCCACACACACACATCGACTCACACACACACACACATGGACTTGCACACACATATCGACTTATGCACACACACATGGATGTACACACGCACTAACATCGTCACAGACACGCACATGGACTCACACGTACACAAGGACTTAGACACAATACTAATTAATAATAATAAATATATTAATATTAACCAAGTACATTTTAAAATATTAGTTGTCAGCACACAAACATTAATATATTAATATTTCCAAGGTGATTATTAAAATAATAGGTTTCTATGTACGTGAGTTTAGCGAAAGAAGTAAGAAATATAAATATTAGTTGTCTGCACACCAACATAATACATTTAATAATTGCAAGGTGATTATTAAAATAATAGGTTTCTATCTACGTGAGTTTAGCGAAAGAAGCAAGAAAATAGTACTTAACGTTGTCGTGGTGAGGCCTAGTCCCGCGCAGAGCCCCCGGCCTCGCCTAGATTTCCCAACCGGCCGAGGTGACACCTTGGCAGGCTGGGGGCTGGGCCGCTACCCCCCCCGCACCCACGATCCCCCCGCCCTCTCTGCAGTCATATCTACGGCCTATAGTGGTAGCATCTACGGACTGTATTGTAGTAACTGCACGCATCGGAGTGGGGGGGGGGAGAAGAGGACATCACACTGTGAAAAATTTACCTCATTTTGTGTATTTTTTTTCATTTTTTTACGCGAATGATAATTTTTTCCGATCGTGTGTGCGCTGCTAGGGGCAACCCCTGTCAGCGTTTCGCGCATGCGCAAATTCGTGCTGTGTCGCATGCTGAGCGGCGCAAGAAATAATAAAATAATAATAAATTGCACTCAAATGTTAATTTAACTACTTTAAAGTATACGGATGGGAAAACAGAATAGCGCTGGCTTACCAGAGACCGACACGGATCATTTAAATTTGCTGTTCCATCTCTTTTTTTTTAAACGTGGACCCGTTCTCCGCGCGCAGACGGGCACGGTTGAGCAGCGGTTTCCCGTCACCGGCGACTGACACCGACGTACTGTTCCTCCTCCCTCCACCATTCCCCCCCACCGCTCGTAGCCATGTTTGCCGCCCTGGAGCAGTCCCCAGTGCTCTACAGCGACTCGAACTTGCTGTGCGCATCATGGAAGGGTCGCGTGCCGCACAGCGAGCGAGAGCGGCCCGTGTGCCGGCGCCGATGCTACCAGGAAGGCTGGCTCGCGCTGGGCAATGCGCACGGCGTGGTGGGCGTCACCTTCTGCAGCTCTCACTGCCGGCGCGAGCGCCCCACCCCGCAGCGCGTCAACTTCAACCTGCGCGGCCACAACAGCGAAGTGAGCAGCGGCGGAGACCACGCTCGCCATCGACCGGCGTGCTCACTGGCACGCTCACCGGGACCTCCACGACCACACCACAGCCACACAGTGCAATTACCCACACCCTCATCAGCACCTTCACCGGCACAGACGCCCACACCAGCACACTCAAGGCCACTAGCACAATCACGCTGCAACCGCGCAATGCGCTCACCCACAACTTTACCAGTAGCCTCACTAGCACCCACACCCTTACCATGGAGTGTGCTTAGTGTGCCTATGGTTTTAGTGGTGTGTGTATGTATGTGCGTGTGTGCATGCATGTGCATGTCTGTACATGTATGCGCGTGCATATGTGTGCGTGTGTGCATGTGCTGCTGCTCAACCTGGAGTGTGCCACTAAGAAGTGGGATCTTACCTTCAACCCCACCAAAACTAAGCACTTGGCTGGGTATTTTATGCCATCAAACGCTCCACCCCCTCAACTCCCTATTGGTCATGGAGCAGTTGTGGAGAGAGTGGACAGTTTTCCATTCCTGGGCAGTGTGTTTATGACGAGCTCCGGTTTGACAGCAGAGGTCTCACTCCGAATCAGTCGGGTGGCATTATCTTTTCATCGGCTGGGTAATGCTGCGTGGAAGCTAAATGGTCTGTAGTTTCACACAAAGCTTTGGGTCGTCTCAACCACAGTCATGCCCTCCCTTCTCTAGGCTTGTGAAACTTGGACCTCTAATTGAACATCTGTGCCAGTTAGAAACATTTAGGCTGGCCTGCCTAAAATCCATCCATCCATTTAACCAGGCTGGATTGTGAGGAGCTCAAAAATCCTTGAAAGATCTGGACAAAGTTCCATCGGTGAACTCCTTCAGGAGCCAAAGCTGCATTCTCTGGGTCATGTAGCCTACATGCCCAGCCACCACATGCTCAAGCAGCTTCTGTTTGGCCTGATAGAGAGGGCTAAACAGGCATGACACGGGCTGGAGAAGAGATGGACTGATGCGGTATGGAAGGATGTGGAGCAGTCGCCCTCAAATAACAATGGAGGGCGGAAGAGTGACGCTCACAACAACAACAAGCGGCGTGCCAGGCGGATAAAATGCAGTCAGTTGGTGCAGTTGGTGGCACAGCGGGTGCATTTACCAGTCAGTCAACCCATGGCACGTAGGTCTTTCCCGTGACCTCCTGCAGCGAGCCTTCGACACTTTCCCTGGCCTCAAAGTGCACCTGCCCTGGCATAGGCACCGTGGTGACATCACCGCCACATAATGACAAATGGCGGTTGTTGTTGTGCGCGTACACGTGTATTTGTATGTGTACATGTGCACACTTGTGTTCCTGTGTGTGTGCGTGCATATGCGTGCGCAGGTTGTGCTTGTGCGCTGGAACGAGCCATACCAGAAGCTGGCGACATGCGATGCGGATGGAGGCATCTTCGTGTGGATCCTGTATGAGGGGCGCTGGTCTGTCGAGCTCGTGAATGACCGCGGGGCCCAGGTGCACCTCCAGCTACCCATGCTACCCCTGAGTGACCCTCACAGCTCCTCATGCTACCCACACCTCTGATTAGCAGAGTTGGCTACGTATGGTGTGAAATAAGAGTTGAACATACATACATACATACCCCTGGGTGACGGTCGTTTGCAGGTCAGTGGGAGTGATACATTCGTCTGCTGCACTGCCATATAACGGACAAACTCGAAATGTGGTTCAGTGTTTTTGGCAATGGATTTTGGCAATGGATATTGGCTTGGTCCACCAATGCATTTTAACTTTCTAAAGGTGGCTCTTGATGAGACTTCACGTTGCTACCAGCCACATGAAACAAGTTTGGACCTGGGCACGTTTTTCTACATGATCACCGGCACGCGAATCAAACTGCGGTGCCATAGCTGTGTTTAAAACGTGCCGCTCTGGGGAACCTTGACGTGACAAGCGAGAGCTCCATCCAGTAGCGGGGCACGTTGGAAGCCGTGTCGTGCGCCTTTAACACAGACACCCCCCTTCCCCCTACCCTGGAATTCCGGCTTGTGTAAACTCTGGCCATGCCCCTCATCGTGTGAGACTTGTCACCACCACCGCCCTCCTCTTTGGGTGGCCGGGTGGTTTAGCGAAGCCTCTGGGTTCGATTCCCAACTTGTGTGCCTCTCTGCGTGGAGTTTGTATGTTCTACTTCCCCTGTTCTGCACGGTGTGTGAGAGTGTGAATGAGTGGAGTTTGTTCTACGACCCCTGTTCTCCAGGGCGTGTCAGAGTGTGAGTGGAGTTTGTTTTACTTCCCCTGTTCTGCATGGTGTGTGAGAGTGTGATTGAGTGGAGTTTTATGTTCTACGCCCCCCTGTTCTGCATGGGTTTGCTCCGGGTTCTTTAAGTTTCCTCCCGTAGCTAAACGCGCTTGTGTGACGTAACTGGTATTGGCCAAAAATATCGCAATGCTGAAAAAATTACCTGCACATTACTCCCATTAGGATTACATACTGCAGCGACATCGCCCCCCCCTATACTGCGAAAACTTGGCAGGACCCTCCTGAAAAAGAGTCTTGGGACTCGTCGAGCACTTACTACTCATAATAACAATTTATCATTATTGACGAATGTAAAAACCCACTGCATAGTTTTCTCATCAGGCTTAGGATAAGCGGAAAAGAACAACAGCGCTTATCTGCGGCGTTTGACTCATGCCACCCACACCAACTCCACCACAGAGAGGGAGCACGGGGTGCTGCACTGCGAGCGATCGGTGCGGGCGCGTGGGTGACAGCGTGGGATTCATGCGGCAAGAACATCCTGTCCCGATTAAATATTCACGTAACCTTAGTTAGCTTGTCGTCGTCGTACCGAGCGATTGGCGGGGTTAATTTTGGGCCAAAATAGTCTGCCATGGATTTTTCGAATGTCTGATAACAGCTGATAAGTTACTCCGCTGGTGCAGGCTCTGATGCGAAACACACAGGCTGTTCAATTTAATTTCTACTCTTGACGGGAGCAAGCCCCATCACCCCGCACGAAAAGGAATGACCGCAGAAGCGGATTGTGCAAGAGCTTCGTCCGAGATACCTGTCAAGTGACGTGTGTTATCCACACACCTACGCACGTGGCTCACTGTGGAAGCAATGTCTTGTCACATGACGGTGCGGCAAAGCATTGCCACAAAAAAACCCTGCAGATGTCACGTGATGGGCGGTTACTTTGCGCGGCTATTCATGATGGAGCAAAGACTGTCAGCTCACTCCGCTTGAGAACCCGGGTTTCATCGCAAGCACCTATTAGCATAGTTGGCTATGTACGGCACGAAAGAAGTTGAACATATGTACATACAAATGGCAGCAATCCATATCAAAGCCAGGCCCTCGCCAGCTCAGAGCTCTGACTCACGAGCCACCTAGCAGGCGCCACTTAGCCCCCGTGAGTGAAGTGCAGTGGGTTTAGAGCGGAGCACCGGTTACCACATGAGAGGGGTTCTGGTGTCACTGGTTTGCGTGCTAACTGTGTGTGTGCTTTGGCCAACTTCGTGTGTGGTACGTGTGTGGTACATCTGTGGTGCGCATGTGGTGTGCCTGTGGTGTGCGTGTGGTGTGCGTGGTGTGGTGTGCATGTGGTGTGTCTGTGGTATGCGTGTGGTGTGCGTGTGGTGTGCGTGGTGTGGTGTGCGTGTGTTGCGCGTGTGTGGTGCGTGTGTGGTGCGTGTGGTACGTGTGGGGTGCGTGGTGCACACGGGGCCGGAACCAGGTGAGCGACTTCACATGGAGCCACGACGGCACGCAAGCGCTCATCTCGTACCGCGACGGCTTCGTGCTCGTGGGCTCCGTGAGCGGCCAGCGCCACTGGTCCTCGGAGATCAGCCTGGATGACAGCCACATCCTGTGCGGGGTGTGGACCCCTGACGACCAACAGGTGTGCACCCACTTCCGAGCGCCCAGCTCTGAGCCTAGCATTGTGCGTACACGTGCCGCGTCCCGTGTGCGCGTCACCTCCAGCGTGTGCTCTGGCGTTGTGCCGTCGTTGGCCGCGGTGCGTGCAGGTGCTATTTGGGACGTCAGACGGGCAGGTGATTGCCATGGACTGCCATGGGCGCATGTTGGCGCAGGTGGTGCTGCACGAGTTTGACAGCGTTCAGGCACTCACCTGGAACTGCCCGGACTTTCTGGTGGAGGACTCAAGCGAGAGCGAGTCCGACGGGGACGAGGGAGCCACGCTTGCTCAGGGCACGCGCACACACACGTGCACACACGCGCACACACGCCCACACACGCCCACACACGCCCACACACGCCCACACACGCCCACACACGCCCACACTCACGCACACTCACGCACACATGCACATATGCACATACGCACACGGGCACACTCACACACACGCATGCACAGACGTGCACACTTACGCACACACTCATGCATGTACACACGCACACACCCAGACGCACACGGATAGCCTCAACACACTTTTTAGGGCAAGGGCTGTAAGCAAGTACCTACGAAGGCCAGCACGGCACATGAGGGAGGAGGTGGCCAACAACACGCCCGACCGCCTTTGTCTCCCAAGTGGCAATGTTTTTTCACTGCACCAATTATGCATTTGAGGTTGAGTGGACCTAAGGGATGCTCAGAACTGGTTTAAATAATCGTCATTGGTGTTAGTTTGTGAGTGGGAATGGAACTCTGATCCCTGGGTTCATAGCGCAGCACGCTAACCGCTACACTACCGTTCTGCACGAACACACGGACACAACAACAACAACCGCCATTCGCCACTAAATGGTGGTGACGTCACCATGGCGCTTGTGCCAGGCTATATGCACTTTAAGGCCAGGTGAAGTCTCAAATGCCCGCTGGCAGGTGTCATGGGTTGACTGACCGAGATGACTGCCAGATGCACAACCTGTGCCCCCTACTGTGCCAACTTGCTGTGTTTTAGCCACCCGGCGCTCCGCTCGTTGTTTTGAGCATCACTCATCTGTCCTCTATTGTTGCTGGAGGGTGACTGCCTCCAACTGCCCAGTAGCGTCCTTTACGAGCCACCTCCACTGAGGCCGATCTTGACACTGCTGGTACCAGTCATCGGCAAGTCCACTCAGCTCCACATCCTCCAGTACCACATCACTCCATCTCTTCTCTTGCCTGCGGTGTGCCAGTTTAGCCCCATATATCCGGTCGAACAAAAGCCGCTTGGGCATGCGGTGGCTGGGCATGCGGGCTACATGACCAAGATAACGCAGCCTTGCCTGCTGGAGGAGCTCACCGATAAGACTTTGTCCAGATCTTTCAAGGATTTGTGAGCTCCTCACACAATCTAGCCTAATTAAACCTAGGATAGATCGTAGGCAGGCAAGCTTAAATGTTTCTAACCAGCAAAGATGTTCCATTTCGGGGGTCCACATTTCGCAAACATAGAAAGGTATGGCATGACCGTGGTCAAGAAGACCCAAAGCTTTGTGTGGAGCGACAGATCAGGTAGCTTCCACACAGCGTTATGCTGTCAATCAAAAGATAATGCTGCCTGACTAATTTGGAGTGAGAACTCTGCTGTTAAACTGGACCTGGTCATAAGCACACTGCTTCGTTATGGAAAATGGTCCACTCTCTCCACAACTGCTCGATCACCAATGGGGAGTTGAGGGGTGGAGTGTTTGATGGCACAAAATACCCAGGCAGGTGCTTCGTTTTGCTGGGGCTGATGATAAGGCCTCACCTCTTAGTGACACGCTCCAGGTTCAGCAGCAGTGCCTCCGACTCCTCCTTTGAGTGAGCAGCAATCACCAGATCATCGTCATACATAACACGGTCGACTAATAGGGAGCCATCCCTTGACTGCACCCGTGCATCGATCAGCCTCCCATTGTATCTATACCAGACGGAAATTCCTCCGGTACAGCTACAGAAGGTTTGACGAACTATGTGTCGAAAAAGATGTTAAATAATGTGGGACCCAGAGGACATCTCTGTCCCACCCCAAGGTGAACAGGGAATGACTCTGACTCCCGGCCCCATAGCACAAAGAACAACCAATATCCCAGGCCTATTGATGGCATCATAGGGCTTGACGAAATCAATAAAGCAGAGATAAAGGTCTTGTTGGAATTCCCTGCACCTCTGCCGTAGCAGATGGTCAGAAAATATGATATCTGTGCAGGACCTCCCTGGCCTGAAACCACATTGGGGCTCCACAAGCCTCTCCTCAGCATGCCTGGCAAGGCGATGTTGAATAATCCTTGCCAGGACCTTTCCCTGCACACTGAGGGAGATGCCTCTATCGTTTACAGTCTATGCAGTCCCCCTTCTTAAAGAGGGGGACCAACAGGACATACACGGACACACTCACACTTGCACAAACTACATCTGTGTTTTCTTGTGTCTCCCCATGTCCATGTGTCCTCATGACTTTGTGTGGTCTGTTTGTGCCTGTATTGACTTTGCGGTGTTTCCCTGTGTCTCCCTGTCCTCCTGGCTTCTCCCCGCATCTCGCTGCATCTCGCCACATCTCCCCCGTGTCCCCCCGTGTGTCCACCGTGTCTCTCCGTGTGTCCCCCATGTCTCACCCGCATCTCGCCACGTATCCACCCAGACGGGCCTTCGAGCGAGTGGAGCGCCCCCCTGCAGGGCCCGCGCACACTGCTCACCGTCATGTTCGGCTCGGGTGACGTGGGCCTCATGAACAACTATGACGACATGACGCCCACACTCGTCAAGACCGCCCTCAAAGGTGTGGTACATTCTCCGTGCGGGGTTTTCTTCTGCGAGCCTTGGGGTGTGACAGGAGCACCGTGGAAATATAAGGTGGCCTGGTGTGTTGCTCGCCACACCACCCTCCCGTGCCCCATTTTGGCCTTCATGAAAAGTAAACTTTGCTAAAACTATTTATATTTTGCCAAGTAAGGCCCACTTAGCTGTATAGCTTTTTCAGAAGCGACCTGGCCATAAATGATAGCTCAAGGAAGTGGCTTATCGTATGGAATTTTAAAGCAAGCAAATACTGTTAAACTCACATTGAGGGAAAAACCGGATGACCCGGAGAAAATCCACATGACCACGGAGAGAACATACAAACTCCAAATATACAGCAGGCGTCAGGGTTTGGATTGAGCCACGACCTTCTGCATACCAGGCGAGGTAGTAACATCTTGGCCACCGTGGTGCCCAATAAGTGTTCATCAACCACACGTGCGCCAAGCGGCCCATGAGTGTCGGTGGGATCCGCGCGCGCGTGTGTGCGTGTGTGTAGACGTGACGGCGCAGTGGAACTCGGCGGGGGACATCCTGGCCGTGGCCGGGCAGGAGAAGCAGCCCAGCCAGGGGCTCCCTGCCGAGCCGCCGGGCCTCTTCTCGCTCTCACGGAGCCACGCCGTCAAGTTCTACAATGCGGCCGGCTTCCTCATCTACACGTTGGACGTGGCCACGCAGGTCCCTCCCTACCACCACCGTCATCTATGTTATAAATGAATTCCTACATTATATTTATTTGAATACATGCATATAACTCCTGTATCGATGATAAACCCTGGCCCAGGGTTGAAGCGCAGTGGTGGGCACGGCGCAGTGCAGTAGTAACGCTCGTGCCTTGTCTGGGTTCAATTCCTGACTCGGGCATCTTGTGGCGTTTCTATGTTCTCTCCCCCTGTTCTGCATGGGTTTCCTCCCATAGCTAAAAACACAATGTAACTGGCATTGGCCAAACATCCTAATATTGAAAATGTACTGCAAATTACTCCATTTGGACTTCACGTAGCAGCAACGTCGCCCCCCCCCCTACTGCGAAACTACAGCTGACTGCACCTGTGAAACACAGCAGCGCTTTTCCGCGTGACGATCGCCCGTGCTGGGCCATAGGAACGACAATATCAGCACCGCCGCATACTCGATTACCATTCACCCAAACGTCTCCGTGTCATCTCGTCCCCTCGTCCCTGGCGCCCAGCACCCCATTTCGTCTCTGTGCTGGGGCCACCGCGACACGCGCCTCTTCGTGACGGCGGGGCCGGCGCTGCAGGTGGCGCGCGTGGAGGTGGGCGTCGCCACGCTGCAGCTGCTGTGCCAGCAGGTGCTGGCGGCCGCCCTGCGTGACGACAAGGCCGTCGCCAAGTTGGCGCTGCCGTCGCGCCTCGCCGGGTACCTGCTCTCCGCCTTCACGCCCACCATCAAGGTAATTGCGCGCCGTGCAATCCCCCCCGAACGGACGCTTGGGGGGCGGGGGGTGCAATCGCTGCGAGCGAGCGGCGATGGAAGCCGGTGCGGCGCATGAGGAGGTGTGGGGTGGTCATTGCCACACCCGACCCCAACCCCCTTGTCCCCCCCAGTGCTGGTGTTTTTAACACGCTTCGCCGGGGTCCTCGCCTGTACATCGCTGCGGGCGAGTGCTGGGATGGACAGCCCGATTGACACTCATGTAGTTGCCACATGGGCAGAGCGCCACGGTGGCTTGGAGATGTTAACTGCCTCGCCTGGTATGCAGGAGGTCGTGGGTTTAATCCCAACCCTGACGCCTGTATATTTGTCTTTCTCTCTCTCCTCATGATCGTGTGGATTTTTCTCTGGGTCCCCTGGTTTTCCCCTCCACATTTAGAATCAACGTCACGTGTTCAGAGTATTTGACTGCGAAAAATTTCCACGTGATGATCAGCCACTTCGTGGCCAGGTCACTTCTGAAAAGAACCGTTTTGCTCAGTGGGGCCTTACCTGGTAAAATAAAAAGAGTATAATAGTTAGTGTTTTTTATTGAGTTTGTGAGCCAGCCTGGACAACGATTGGGCACGGACACAGCTCCATGACCTTTCACACAGACACCGGAGCGCTCCCTGCCAGCCACTGCCAAGTGCGGGTTGTAATGGTGCCACGATGCAGGGAAAGTGTCATTTGGCCGAGACTTGAAGGTGGCCTAGCGCCCTCTGCTGGACGCTCGGCCCTCTCGGCCACGCCAGTAACGTTGCCAACTTGGTGAGCGTGGGCCCAGTGTAGACGCGTTGGAGCCGTGTGCCTTTAAGCCTCAAGGATGATCACTGCTGTACAAAGAACTAACTTGGGCCACAGTTGCCACATGAGAGGTTGAACACCGAGCTCCCGCCGCACTGCACTCCGTAGAGTTTACCGTAGAGCGGTCGGGGTGATTAATGATCCAGCAGCCACCGATTCACTCCAACCGCTCGCTCACCAGTGGTTAGTCGCCTCCTTGTCGCTCTTCTATCGCTACCGTTATGGGTACCGTTCTCCTGTACTTCACCCGTCGATTCATTCACCCATAGTGTTTAGTCTCATCCACTGTGGCCCGAGTTTGTCATCCTAAACCACCAAATCGCAAGTCGCAACACCCCCACTCACCCACTCACTCACCTTCTCACCACACTGCAAGTCACAACAACACCCCCCACTCGCCCGCTCACTCACCCGCTCACTCACCCACTCACCACACTGCAGGTTACTACAACACCCCCACTCACCCGCTCACTCACCCACTCACCACACTGCAGGTCACAACAACACCCACACTCACCCACTCGCCTGCTCACTCACTCTCTCACTACAATGCAGGTCATAACAACGCCCTCACTCACTGACTCACTCACTCACTCACCAACTCACTCACTAACTCATTCACTCAATCAACCACTTGTCCACCTGCTCACCCACTCACTCACCCTTTCACCGCACTGCAAGTCACATCACTTCTCTTTCTGCATCTTTCCTTGCACTGTTTCACATTCGGAATCAACTCCACCTATCATCTCCCCAAGCTCTTAATAATAATTTACATTTGTAAGGGGCGTTTCATCCAAGGATCCCAACAACCTCGCTCAATTCAAGAAACGCCGTTGCACCCTCATGCTTGGCACGACTTGAATCCAGCGGCGCGTTTCGCCTTCTCAGCCCCCGATCCCAGACCCCAGCAACCTGCGTGACTTTGTGAGCTACCCGCCGGGTGGCAAGGAGCGCCTGCACTGCACGATCCGCCGCGTGGACGAAGATCCCGAGGGCGGCGGGCCCTCCTACGTGCTGTTCCTGGAGCACCTGGGCGGCCTTGTGCCCATCCTCAAGGGCCGGCGTGTCAGCAAGCTGCGGCCCGAGTTTGTCATACTCGACCCCAAGACCGACGGGCGGCTCGGTGCGGGCAGGGAGACACGGGGGACGGAGGGGAGACACGGGGAGGGAGACATGAGGGAAGGGGGCCCTGAGCATGGGGAGGGAGACACGGGGAGGGACGCGCGGGCAGGGGGACGTGGGGAGGGAGACACGTGGACGGAGATACGTGGAGGGAGATATGGGCAGGGACCCACAGGGAGGGAGACGTGGGGGACACAGGGAGGGAGACCCAAAAAGAGGAGACACAGGAGGGGAGACACGGGGAGGGTGATGTGGGCAGGGGGGCATGGACAGGGAGACACAGAAACACAGTGCAGACACATACATGAGTGTGTCTCTGCTGATTTAACCACATGACATGCGCTGGTTACTGTGTGAACGCATGCCAGTTGCTGTGCTTTGCAGCGCCGGTCACCGTGTGTTGCCGTGTCACCGCAGACGAGGTGGGTGTGTGCGGTGCTGCCTGCTCCGTGTTCGACAGCTGCAACTGCTCGGACGCGAGCGACATTGAGCTGGGTGAGGAGGCCCTCGCTCGCAAGTCGCCCAAGACCTCGCGGGCGAGCCGCTCGCCCCGCCTCCCAAGGTACCTCACCCTTCGCTCCTCACCCTTGCCCCTAATCCGCTGGCTCCTCACCCTCGCTCCTCGTTCCTCATCCTCGCCCCTCACTCCTTAACCTCGCCCCTAATTCACACACCCTCACTACTCACCCTCGCTCCTCACCCCGATTGTGGAGCCCACGTCCCCGTCTTGCTCTGTGCGGCGCGGCCGCAGGATAAACATGGAGTCGCGGCGCTCGCCTAAGCTGACACGGTGCAGCCAGGAGGGCGCCAAATCCCCACGCCTTCCCATCCGCAAGCCCTCGCTGGGGTCGCCGAGCCTGGGCCGCCGTGATCTCTACCTGGACGACGGCCTTCAGGTGAGACGTGGCCTCCCATCACTACCCCCACCTCTCCTCCCCCCCTCCACACTGCCACTGCCTCTCCCCCACACGGCCTTCTGGGAGTTATTTTTTTTGTCATCAGTATTCGTTCAGCTCAAGAAAGCTCTGACTCAGCAGTCACGTTCACTTTAACCAATGCGAGTGAACTGCCAGATGCTCGTAGACAAGAACCCTTTCTGGGTCTGAGGAAGAGCGGTGGGGAGTGAGGGCTGTGAGGTGGTTGTTTAGCAACATGCTGTCCCCAGCAGCACAACTACTTGGCTCAAGTGACGTCCAACATCTGGGGAACCAAGTTCAAGATCGTGGGGCTCGCCCCCTTCCTCCCGGCCAACCTGGGCGCCGGTGAGAAGCACAACCACGCCGCACGCCATCATGCCGCACGACCTCACACCGCATGGTCTAAGGCCACACGACCTTACACCACGTGACCTAAAGCCGCATGACATCGCACCACATGGCCTAACACGACACGGCCTTACACCACATGGCCTGGCGCCACATGGCCTGACAGCACATGACCTGACACCACACGGCCCTTACGCCACCATCTAACGCCACCGTCTAACACCATGCAAGCTGGCGCCAAGTGGCCTGATGCAATGACCTAACACAGCAACCTAACACCGCATCACCTAACTCCACGATATTGTGTTTGTGTGCTCTTGAACTGCCAGATGCTCGTGTTGCTGTGTTTGTGTGCGGTCGTGTGTTGCTATGTTTTCGTGTGTTGCAGTAATGTCTTATGGAAGGGTTGCCATGTTGTCGTACAGCATTGTTTCTGTGTGAATCTCGTTGCTCTGTCGGCCACCCCCCGTGCAGTGATCTACAAGACGAGCCTACTCCACCTGCAGCCTCGCCAGATGACCATCTACCTGCCGGAGGTGCGCAAGCAGACCCAGGGCTACGTGTCGGTGGCGGCCTTCACGCCGGGGGTCTTCAGCGATGATGAGGACGAGGGCGCAGGTACGGCTGCCCCCCCCCCCATGACCCCTCCACCCACCCCCCCAGCCCCCCAGGCTCCTGCTGCCATCTCCTCGGAGCCCCCCCCTCTCAGGGAGGTGATGCGGCGGCTCAGCGGTGGCGCTTTCGCCGTCTGTTCCAGAAGTTCGCGATTCTAACTGGGCAGGCCAGCCCGGTTATTACTGCAGGTGTATTAAACGGTAGTAGCTCTGTTTGCTACACTGCTGGAATTTGTTTTTATTTATTTTGTCATTTGGGTGACCCAGGTCACTCTTGTAAATGAAAACCATCCTCTAATCTCTTGAGTTCTGACCTGGTTAAACAATTTAACTTGAGAACTGAACTAATGTTTTCTGCATACGTAGGTCCTGTGTGTCACGCGTGATGCTGTGCCCTGCCTGCCTCATGGCTGCTGCTCCTTCATGTGTTGTGCCTCACCTGTGCTGTGTGTACACGTGCAATGTGTACACTTGTGTGTTGTGTGTACACGTGCAATGTGTACACGTGCTGTGTGCTGTGTGTACACGTGCACTGTGTACATGTGCTGTGTGCTGTGTGTACACGTGCAATGTGCTGTGTGTACACTTGTGTGCTGTGTGTACACGTGCTATGTGTACACTTGTGTGCTGTGTGTACACGTGCTGTGTGCTGTGTGTACACTTGTGTGCTGTGTGTACGCGTGCCGTGTGCTGTGTGTACACGTGCCGTGTGCTGTGTGTACACGTGCAATGTGCATGGTGTACATTTGTGTGCTGTGTGTACACGTGCTGTGTGCTGTGTGTACACGTGCCGTGTGCTGTGTGTACACGTGCCGTGTGCTGTGTGTACACTTGTGTACTGTGTGTACACTTGTGTGCTGTGTGTACACGTGCTGTGTGCTGTGTGTACACGTGCTGTGTGCTGTGTGTACATGTACATTTGTGTGCTGTGTGTACACGTACATTTGTGTGCTGTGTGTACGTGTGCTGTGTGTACACGTGCAATGTGCTGTTTGTACACGTGCAATGTGTACACGTGCTGTGTGCTGTGTGTACACGTGCAATGCGTGCTGTGTGTACACGTGCTGTGTGCTGTGTGTACACGTGCTGCGTGCTGTATTTACACATGCTGCATTTGCTCATGCTGCGTGTGCCATGTGTACGAGTGCTTCAACTTGAACCCGCCTCTCTATCTCGCCCCCTCCTGATCTCTGCTCCCCGTGTCTCTGTGCAGTGGCCGGGGCCTCAGGCCAGCGTGAGCCCAGTCCTCCGTGCTCCATGAACATCCCCATCGCCCCCATCTTCAGCTCGGCCCAGTCGATCTCTCCCACGCAGAACATCGGCTTGGCACAGAGCCTGCTTGCCAATCAGAATGTGCAGCTCGACATCCTGACCAGCCAGAGGCCGGGCCAACCTGCAGCCTCCAACCACAGTCCACAGCAGCTGGAGGTCCCGGCCAATCAGAGGCTGTCTCAGGTGGCTCAGAATGTGCAGTACGACGCTCTGGGCGGCCAGAGACTAGCGCAGCAGAATCTGTCCAATCATAACGCGCAGGTCGATTACACGCTGGCCAATCAGAGGGTGGCCCAGGCGGTGCTCGGGGGTCAGTTCCCGCACATGGACGTGCTGGCCAATCAGAAGGCGGCGCACGCGCACATGGTGAGCCAGTCGGCGCCGGGAGAGAAGCTCACCAACCAGAGGGCGGTGCAGACAGTTCTGGCCAACCAAAACACCCAGCTGGACATGCTGGCCAATCAGAGGGCCGCGGCGCAGGCCCAGTTGGCCAATCAGAGCGCCCAGCGGGAGATGCTGGCCAATCCCCGCACGTCCATCGGCGGGGCGAGCGGTCACGTTGGGCCGCTCGACGTCATCACCAACCAGGCGGCGGTGGCGGCTGCGGCGGCGGCCTCGGCGTCGGAGCGTGGCGAGGCGGAGCACTACAGCACACTGAAGCGCAACTCCAACCCCGCGCCAGGGCAGGCCTTCTTCGGGGGAGCGGACCACCCCGGCAGGACCAGCGGCTCGGCACAGGCGTATGCCCAGCAGCCAGCGCCGCCTCTGCATGCGCAGCACGCGCCGTTCCCCAACCAGCAGATGCTCCACCAGATGCAGCTCACCGCCCAAGCCATGCTGCATAGCCAGCAGACGCAGTTCAACCAGCAGGCGCTCCACTCGCAGGCCGGCCAGCAGACAACGCACATACAGCAGACGCAGTTCATACAGCTGACGGCATACAGCCAGCAGGCCATGCAGTCGCACGTCCCGGCAGCGGCGGCCTCAGCCTTGGCCCGGGAGAAGGAGACGGCCGCCAAGAGCGAGCTGTTGTCGCGGCAGTACCAGCAGCAGCAGCAGCTGTCAGATCGCGATGCGCTGGGCTTCACCAGCGACCACAACGTGGCCGTGGCACACATCCGCAAGGGAGGGGAGGCGCTGCGGCTGCCCTCTGCAGCCAGCGCCGCCACAACGTTCACTCCCCAGAGTCTGCAAGATCAACAGCAGCAGCAGCAGCAACACGTGCAGCAGCAGCAGGCGCAGCAGCAGCAGCATGCGCAGCAGCAGCAGCATGCACAGCAGCAGCAGCAGCATTTACTACAGCACCAACAACAGCACTCACAACAGCAACCACAGCAGCATCCACCCCAGCAGCATCCACCCCAGCAACAGGTGCAGCAGCAGCAGCACCTTGTGCAGCCTCAGCAGCAGCAGCAACAGCAGCAGCAACAACAACCCCAGCAGCAGCAAATGGCAGGGCTGGCCTGCACGTGCCCTCCGCTTGCCAGCCTGGGCTACGAGCGCATCACAACGTTCGACAGCAGCGGCAATGTCCAGGAGGTGTGCCGCCCCCGCGCCTCCACGGGGAGCACTTCTGGGGCGGGGGTCGCGGGGGTGCGCACCAGCCAGAGCATGTACGGCCTGCGCAGCCCGGGGCCCGCTCCCAGCTCTCCGCAGTCCCCATTCTCCCCGCAGGCCCCGCAGTCCCCGTTCTCCGCACAGCCACCCACGCCACCCTTCTCCTCCTCCCAGGCTCCCGTCTCTCCCTTTGGCCAAACGTCGCAGGCGCCCGCCCAGCCTACGGGGCTGGCAGCGGCGGCGCCAGTGGTGGCGGCGCACCCGAGCGTGGCCACGGCGCCACTGGCGCCGCCGCACCCCCCCGCCGTCGCCAGCTACCAGTCGGCGACGCTTGGCCACCAGCCGTCGGGGGTCTCCTACCAGCACGCCAACGCCGCCTTCCAAGCCTCCGGCGCCGGATACCAGGGGGGCAACGTCGCCGCCCTCCATCAGGCTCAGTTCCACGATAGCGGCAAGCAGCCGGTGGTGCCGCCGCCACCGCAGCAGCAGCCGGGGGTCGGCACGGTGAAAAGAGGGAGTACAGATCTCGTGAAGTCGGGCAGCGAGAAGCCGGCAATGGCGCCTGTAGCGTTTAACCTGCAGGGCCAGTCAGCGCAGTACGCGCGGGCCGCCAACCCAGTGCAGAGAGTCGCCTCCAACACGCTGCCCTCGAAAAGCTCGGGGCAGTCGGTGAGGCTGAGCGACGGCCAGAGAGTCACGGCGCAGGCGAAGGCTCCCAACGCGGCCTTCTCCGCAGAGACCTGCCCCTGTCAGCTGAGACCGCAGCAGGGGCAGCACGCTCAGGCCCAGCCGCAGCTGCAGCAGCAACAGAAGGGGGAGGGGTACCAGCAGCAGCAGGCCAGACTGCCGGGAAACGGCGGCCATCACGGTGCCTATGTGGGACAAAGTGCCGGTGCCACGGCGACCAAAACGATGGAGCACTCGAGCACACGGCAAATCCAGCAGCAGATTCAGCAGCACCAGATTCACCAGCAGCAAATACAAGCGCTGCAGCAGCATATCCATCAGCAGCAGCAGCTGCAGCAGCTGCATCAGCAGCAGTTGAAACAACAACAGCAGCAGCAGCATATGCATCAGCAGCAACAGATGCAGCAACAGCAAATGCAACCGCAGCAGCATCAGCTGATGCAGCAGCAGCAACACCAGCTGCAGCAGCAGCATCAGCCATCGCAGCAACAACAACAACAACAAATACAGCAGCAGCAAAGTATTCTGCAGCAGCAACAGCAACAGCACCATATGCAACAGCAGATTCAACAACAACAACAGATGCAGCAGCAGCAGATTCAGCAACAGCAGCAACAACAATTACAACAACAGCAGCAACAACAATTACAACAACAACAATTGCAACAGCAACAACAACAACAATTGCAACAGCAGCAACAACAACAATTACAACAGCAGCAGATTCAACAACAGCAATTACAACAGCAGCAACAGTTGCAACAGCAGAAACAGCAGATTCAGCAGCAGCAGCAAATACAACAACAGATTCAGCAACAACAGCAGACGCAGCAACAGCAGATTCAACAACAGCAGACACAGCCACCACAAATACAGCAGCAGCAACAGCAGCAGCAGCAACAACAGCCGCAGCAGCAGAAGCAGAGCACTGTAATCGTGCACTCTGTCAGCATCTCGCCGCTGAGCTCACAGTCCTCGTACAGCTTGCTGAGCCCGGCCGACCCCTGCCGCGACCAGACCGAGTACGTGAACGGGGCGTTCTCCGAGGATGACGCATCTGAAAAATCCTTTAAGAAGGAAAATGCGACCGCAGCAGCAACAGCAGCGGTAGCCAAAGCGGACCCGGGCCATCACAAAGAGGCCGGCAAAGAAGGGAGCGTGGAGGCCAAGAAGCCGGCGGAGTGCCAGACGGATGGACCATCCGTGCCGATCACCAGTTCCCCCAAACCATCGGAGGGTCGCAGGGCCTCGTCGGGAGAGATGCCTGCGGCCGCGCCCACCAAAGTTTCCCAGAGCCATCGCGGCGCCACGAGAGAGATGGGCACGGACACGCTGAAAAGAGAGGTCTCCAGCGTTCCGGCCTTACCGAAGTCCGCGCAACTTCCCGGCCGAGACGGCGGCTCCGCGGTGAGCAAGCCCGCTCAGTGCTATAGGGACGTGCAGACGCTGAACCCTTCGCGAGACCAGTGGCTGCAGCAGGGCGGCAGGGCCAAGTCTGTAGCCGGGCACTATGGCACGATGATCCCGACGTCACACCAAGCGCAGGCCAAGCACGCCGGAAACTTTCTCCCGGCAGCGGTAGCTGCCGCAGCACAACGATCCCAGAGCAGCCCTCGCGGTGCGCTCAGCGGTGGCAATGCCCAATATTATGCCACCATGAGACCCACCAACATGGCCCGATACCAGCACAACTACAGTGGTAGCGGCGGTGCCGCCACGCGCCACGCCGCCGTGCCCGTGGCCTACACCAGCAGAGACACCGGCGGGCTGGCGGTGCAGTACGGCGACGGCGTGACGGTGCCGCGGCAGGCGCTCGCCATGAACTACCCGCCCGCTGCCGCCGCCGCGGCCGTATGCCTCCCGGCGGCCGGCCACTACGCCACGCTGCCTCGGCCCAACATCTTGGTGACCGGAGAGCCGCGGGCGAGCGTGAGCGTGCAACCGTCATACACGGACCTGGCACAGCGTTACGCCACCATTGCCCGGGCAGCGCATGCCGGAGAGCGGGGACAGCCGGCGCCGCATCAGCAGCATCATCCCCATCAGCAGCAGCATCAGCAGCAGCAGCATCACCAAGGTGCTGCAGGGGCTGATGCCGCGGCCGGCGGCACCATCATGGGCCTGGCAGGGGCCGAGGCCATGTGCGGTGGGGCGCGGCTTCCCGACCCCGGCTACGGAGAGATGATGCCAGCGGATTGCGCCAGCTCCTGCCGGGTTGACAAGCCAGGTAAGAAGGCGTGGAAGCTCGCGGACGCAGCCTGACATCGTCCAGGTTCACCAATCGGAGGACACGGAAGGTTTTGTCACCTGATGTGCCATCGCAGCCCAGCTGCGTTAGAGCTCTGGTCACTTAGGCGTTGTGGTTTTGCTCGTACGGTGCTCACCGAAACGCTCTGGCTCAGATACAATGTCCCGGGCACCTGGGCATTTATCAATTCAAATATTAAATATTTCCTAAGTCCCTGGGTGCCCAGCACAGGGATGGAGTTAAATTGTATCTTGGCCGGAGTGTGTCGGTGACCTCAGAATTTAACATGAGTACTAAAATCTAGTCTTTAGTTCCGTGACTACGTTGTCTCAGAGCCGTACCGTCTGCAGACCAAACAACGCCGTGAGACGGAGGCTCTACCATTACTATCACAACGTTTCACTTTGCCCTGGGCTAGCGTGGCGGCTCCCAGAGAACACCACGCGTCATAACTGTAGCTCAGGGTTACGGCTGCCAACTCTCGTCCTTGGAGATGGGGGGACTGTGACATCGCCAGAGGCCGTGGTGTCGGCGTTGCTGACAATTGCATTTGTAGAACTTGGCAAAGATTAAAACTCCCAGGTGGTTATGGATTCACAGCCGCTTTTATTGGGCACGGTCTCCCATTGATAATGACACCACCCTCATGGCCCCTTCGGCTACACGAGCTTTGGAATATTCCAACATGCGACTCCCCCAGGTTGACTCAGCCTTAATGAGTACCTGGTGTGGTATGTAAACATCAACACTGGAGTTGACAAAGGCAGCCGGTTTGGTACTGGCACTTGCTAACAGAACTTGCCCCAATGGTCTATTAAGGGCTACGCGGGGGGATCTCCACTTTGTTCCCACCTCTTGACAAACCGTGCTGTGCGTCTGCGGGGGATGCAGGCGCACGCAAGGACACGCGTCTGCTTACTGACCTCAACTCGCTGCTCGCGAGTCCCAAGGCCGGCCGTGGGGACAAGAAGAAGGGTGGCGGAGGCAGCAGCAAGGGCCCGCTAGGCCGGGAGCCGCTGGCTGGTGCCGTCGCCAAGGCCCCGTCCAGCAAGAAGATGCTGTCAAAGGGCGGCGGCGGTGGCAGCGGTGGCGGGGGCAGCGGCAGCCTGAGCGGGGGTGGCGGGGAGTTCCAGGACAGCTCAGAGAGCGAGCACGAGGTGGTGGTGAGCGGGGACGAGTTCACCTCGAGCCAGGGCCCCGCATTCCGCAAGGGCTGGAAGGGCAAGCGGGGGGCACGGGGAGCGGGTGGCATGGAGGCAGACGAGGCCAAAGGTAGCGGCAACCTCCCTCCCTCCTACCCATCCCTCCCTCCTCCTCGTCTTTCCCTCCCTCCTGTCCCTCTTTCCCTCCCATCCTTTCCATCCCTCCCATGCCTCTCTCCCCTCCCTATCCCTCTCGTCCCTCCTCTCCCCTCCCTCCCCCCGTCGGGAGCTCCCTGGTAAGTGACGTGCGTTTTACCGTGCAGGCCGGCGCAGCGACAGGGAGGAGGGGGGCCGCCCGGCGGGAAACGGCAGCGGGGCCGGGGTTGGCGGCGGAGGCGGCGGCGGTGGCGGCGGCGGCGGCACGCAGGGCTTCGTGTACGTCATGGCCAACAAGCAGCCGCTGTGGAACGAGGCCACGCAGGTCTACCAGCTCGACTTCGGGGGCCGCGTCACCCAGGAGTCGGCCAAGAACTTCCAGATCGAGCTCGACGGGAAACTGGTCGGCGCCGCCGGCTCACGCACGCGTTCATTATCACACGTTATCACACGCGATCACACACTATCACATACAATCACATGCGATCACATGTTCTCATACAAGCAATTACACTCTCAAACGCGTGCTCACGCGCACACGCCCGTTCACGCTTGTGATTTCGCGCGCTCGCACACCCGTTCATATCTTTGCATGACTCGCGGACGGGAGTGGCGTCGTGCGAGGGGGTGGGGGGGAAGCGACGTTGACGCGCTGCTCCGCGGTGCCGCCACAGGTGATGCAGTTCGGCAGGATCGACGGGAACGCCTACATCCTCGACTTCCAGTCCCCGTTCTCGGCCGTGCAGGCCTTTGCCGTGGCCCTGGCCAACGTCACCCAGCGCCTGAAGTGACCTCGAACCTCCGCCGACACCGCGCTCTGACGGCCACGACACCGGGCTGGAAACCCAAGGGATGCGCCACTGCTGTTGAGCTCGAAGCCCGACCTGAAAGTTTGGAAGCAGCCATGACGTTTGGAAATCTGAGCATTGGTCCGATGGCCCAAGCTTTGTTTAATTTTTTTAAGCAGAGCGCTCCTGCCGTGAGCCGCGGAAGCCTTTGCGATCGGCGATCGGTGGTTGTTATGTGGCGTTCAGACAGCGCAGCCAACTAGGCCCCCCCGGGACGAACAATTCCATAACAAAAAAAGTGTTGATCTTGCTTACATTTCCTCGGTGCTTAACGTGCTCCAAGCCGCGCGGCCCCTCAGCGGGGGGGCCGAGCCGCACTGTGCGGCAAGACGTAGCGTGTAGTTTGTCGCCGCATGTCTCATGTCGTCTCTTGAATGAAAATGTTAAAGTATTTACAAGCAAACTGAGCGTCTCTCCACCGCACTCTCGCGAAATGGAGCCTGGCGGAGGCGGCCGTAAGGGACGAAGTTGTTGCATTCAGTCGGTCAAGGCGCCTGCCGGGGCGGCGAGGGGGGAGAGACGCGGGATCTGTTCCGTCGCCGAGCGGGGACCAATCGCCGGGGCCCGGGTGGCGTGGCAACGTGGACGGGTGGCTCACGCGAGGACGCCGTGCGTGGTGCGCGTGTCTCGTCCAATCCGCGCCCTCCACGGCTCCGTGGGGGGCAGGCGCCGTCCACAGCCGCGAGCGTCGCACTCAGCTTGCGGGTCGATATCGGAGCTACTTCTGCAGTCGCCTACGATCCTCAGCTTCTGCGGCAGATCGCTCGTTCCCCTGTGGCGCGTGCGAGTGTTGCGCTCGCCGGCTGCGTCCGCCCGCAGAGAAGCCCCGTTGTACGTCTCCAGCCACCCGACACGGTTGGTGAATCATGTTAAGGCGTCGTCGCTTCGCTCTCGCCAACAATATTAAGTATTATATATTCACAAGTGAATGGCCAAGAGAACGATGGCGAAGGGCGCAGTATTCTAAAATTTGGCACAGCACTGTGAGCACATGTTGAGGCGTGGGTAGACGGTGGAGATGGAGACGGAATGGTGTGGATGTAGTCGTAGATGTAGTCGTGGGAGAGAGGTTTAGCCTGAACTGCAACGGGGCGTTCAAACTAACGTGCGCGCTACCGATGCGATCACCAAATGCTTAAAGGAAAAAACGACATCGCTGTAGACCCTAGGTGTGAGTCCATTGTGTTCGTCCGTGCCAAAAGCCAGCGAGCCGCCATGTTCCCAGCGTTCATGAGCGGCAGTGGCATCGTTATTCACAGCTCGATGCCCAGCGGTGTCGCCACACGGGGCTCCATGTCCAAGGTGGTTGCTTGCGCGTGTTTCCGACGGCGACCCCTAGCCATGACCCCTAGCCGTGACCCCTAGCAGTGACCCCTAGCAGTGACCCCTATCCGCGACCCCTAGCCGTGACCAGGGCCATGGGAGTGGGAATTCAACCGCTGACCGCTGACCCCTGACCAGGCAGGCACAGCAGTAGAGCTGACCCCTGGATTAACCAGGAGGCCTCTGTGCAAGCGTAGCGTTGGTCATTCTTGGACAGGTCAGCCAGAGATGTTTCTGCCCAGCTGCGCGGTAACAATTAGAATGCAAAATCGGCTGAAGCACGACTTCGACCGAGAGCTCGTGGACGTACGCAGTACAACGCGGCACGCACGTACCGCCATGAGGAGGGCGCCATTCGTTGAGTACAGGCGTCGGCGGCAGGTGCAGCCGGGTTGTGATGATGCGCTGTGTGGGACATGGCCACGCAAGCCTGCTCAGTTCTGCATCTCATTCGAAGACACGGGTCCCGGACGGCCGCGGTGAGCAGGCAAGTGTGCGTGCATTATCAGTGCTTTGGAAAAACGACCTACGTTGCGGCAGCTTCGTTCGGCGGGGCTGATGATGGGAGCCGTTCCCTTTGCTCGACTTGAAGTTGGCCCAGCCGCTTAATTAATTGCCAGACCTTGAGCTGTTGAACGGTGTTTGCGGACGTGGGTTGTTGCCAGTGTTCTGAACCTGCCTTCGTCGCGAACCACCCTCGCGGGGACCGATTTGTGTGATGTTGGCCGGCCGTGCGCGTCGGCCTCGCCCGCCGCGTCAACCGTGCGTGGAGACGCGTGCGTTCCCAGCGACGGCGCGGTGGACTGCGTCGCACCTTGTGGAGCTTTCCGCAAGTCTCCAGCATGCGTTTCTAATTCAAGCACGCGTCCCTTGGTAAGCCTGCTCTTTAGCTCAACGTCACATTGTGCGGCCACCGCGGGAAGTCAGCTGGCAGATGCGGCGCTGTCCCCGCACGCGAGCATCGGACTGCGCTGGCTGCCTCGAGCCGTGACCGGGGAGTTGGCGCTGCCCGTGCGTCACGGCGCTGCGCGGAGGCCACGGCGCGTTTGACGCGGCCTGGCGCAGCGACCGCGAAGGAGGACGAGGGGGCGGCTCTAGTTGGTCCGCTGGCCGAGCAAGCTGATCGCCGTGAGTGGGGAAGATCGACGACTCAGAACCTCGCGCTGCGTTTGGGCTCCATTCTGGCCAATGGGAGGGTGCTGTGAGGCTCCTGCGTCTGGCACCGTTTGAGTCCTGTGGATGCCCCGTTGCCACCCTTCTGTCCGGACACAGTCGCTCACGCCGCTATTTCTCCACTCGCTCTCACCAACGTTCCTCACGCATGCCAACCCGATCGCTGTCTCTTACCTGCCGTTGACTGCCAATCTTGTTGTTGAGCTAGTTTGGTCTTTGTACCTTGAGAGAATGGTAAAGTATTATTATAATGATTAGTGTCATCGTAATGGCCTGAACACCATAGTGAAATGGTAGAATGGTCTGTGACGCCGGTACAAAATGATAATGGGGTCGCAGATGTGGAGTCCTTTACAACAAGGGCCAGTTTCCATATGGGTTGGCACCGTTTATGTTACTGCCACTCGTGTGTGTATGTGTGTGTAGGTTGGCACCGCGTGTATATAGTTCTATGTTTACGGTTGGCATCGCACATGAGGCTTCATCCTGCCGAGGCATGACACAGTCGTGTCGCATGCTGCGTGATAGCTGCATGCTTTTTAAAGTCCTATGGGCCCCGTAGGCAATGTGTGTTACACGCGTGTCCCTGTGCCGTATTATCCCCGTGTCCCTGTGCCGTATTACACGCGTATTCCCGTGTCCAGTGTCGTATTACTCGCGCGTGTCCCCCGTCGTCGCGTTGCGTGTTGCAGTATCTCTGACTACAGGTGGCTGTCGCCCTGCGTCGCTGCCCAGCCCTGCGGGGCTGTTCCCGCTGCCACCACCGCCGCCGCCCGTTCCACTGAAGCGCGCCGTGCGGCCTGCCTGGCTCTACTCGTCCTACGTTCTAGTTTACAGACACGACCCCACTTACGCGGGCGTCGATTCTGTGCGTGCTCACCCGTGCGTTATTTATTATTATTATTATAAGTTCTGTGTACTGTATTGTAATACGCGTGCGTCCGTGCGTGTGTCTGTACGGCCGTGAGAACAACGTCGCTTGCCTGGAGGAGTTTTACTACCGCGCTGCCGAGTATCGGAACAAATCCACCGCGATATTCCGCTTGAATTGAGTGCAATAAGTGAAGCCAGTGGCACGGCGGGCGGCCGAGGAAGGCTCAGGAATTCAAATCGGATTTCCAAGCAACAAAAATTCTCACAATTTCCAAATGTGCTTTTGCGCATCCCCATCAGGACACGAAAGATCCGTTTGTAAATCTGGCCGAGCGGCGCCCTCCACCCCCTCCGCAGCAGGTGAGACGTCATCAACAATGACGAGCACCTCCGGGGGTACATGCCGTTATTGAGAGCGATTGTATCGGGAACTGGTGGTGCTGCTTGTGAAGCGATCGGCACCGTCACTCGGATCGCCGGGGGGGGGGGGGGGTGGGCATTGTTGGTGACGTGACAGTGATCTGGTGTTCACTCCGACGAGGGGTGATGACGGCCCCTGTCTGCCTGCCCCTGGCCATGGCTCATGCGTGCAGTGTTTGCCATTTCTGATGCTTGCTATCGATGGGGACGATCCCTGTCCTGCAGGACTCTGGCCAATTGGCCCATTGCGAGTTAACTGGCTATCTTTAAAGGGGGGCAGTCCTTGGCAAATCAGAGTTAACTTCTCACCTCCCCATTTTACCCAGACCCTCAGCTGCTCCCGAGGGGGTCCCTGCTGTGCCACTGGCTGTGTTGGGAGGGGGTGGGGGGGATGCACTGAACTGTGGCGTACTGAGCAGCTCAAATTTCTCGACGTTCATTCAAACTGCGGTCGAGGCCATGGAAGTCGTGTGGCTTATGTGCCTCAAAAGCATTCCCAGGGATTGTCGGGAATCCGTATCCCGTAGTAGTCAGAAATAAGCCCTGTCCCCCTTTACATTTTCACGCATGCACACTCCCCGAGTGTGACTCCATGTGGTGTCCTTGGTGACTTTGCTGTGTGGTGAGGGTGCACGCCCCCGCCCAGTCACCCACGTTGGTTGCCCCGCATCGCCCTGGGGGCAGTGGCGGGGCGGATGGGGTCCGGCCGCTTGCCGTGGAGGCGCCACGAGAGCACCTGCTGCTGCTCCGGCCACAGCGTGGCGCTCTCCGCAGTGGTGGACAGCGTTAGACGTAGACTGACCGTGGCGTGTGTGCGTCGTGTGTGTGTGTGTCACGCTCGTTCGCTTACTACCCAGCCCGGAAACCCCAAGGGAAGCGCCTCGCCCCGCGCCGCCGCGCTGTTTGTCGGTGCCCCCCGTGGGTTCGTGTCCCGTGGCAGTCTCGATGGGGGCTGCGCCCACGTGCGTTTGTGTGCCCAGTGAGTAGCGCGTGGTTCCAGTCGCTGAAATAATAAAATAAAAAGTCCTCAATGTTTCATCAACTCGTTGCCGACGTCTCCCGAGTGAGTTTACCTGCTCGACGGTGTGCCTGACGAACATCTGTGATGCCACAGCAACGGAGCAGCTCTGCCGGCGCTGCTCCCCCCTCGCAACCCCTCACACGGACACACACACCCCCACCCCCACGTAGGACCTCGTGGGGAAGTCACCAGGCCTCTGGGTTTTCACCCGAGAGCCCCCTCGTGGGGGGCTCCACGGTTTCCCGGGGTCAGGGAATTGGCAGATTTCCCCCAGGTCGGATGACCCTGCGGCGCCGTGAATTGACTTGAAACTACTTGGTCACGACAAGGCCACCCGGCAACTGCAGTGAGAAATCAGACGCGGCACGGCAGGTAGGGGGCGGGGCCACAAACGGCGAGCTACATGGAGACGAGGACACTGGGGGGGACGGAGCGGAACTCCAATGGTAGGAAGATGGCGAAAGGAGTGCCTGAGACGGAACCAGACAGGGAAGAAGCGTCAGGATTGGTCGAGAGGGCGGCCCAGCTGAGCCAAGAATCCCTTTGAAGTGAGGGGGGTTAGGCCATGGGTAAGCGTCTGATTGGCTGGGTGAATGAGGATCCGAATGGTCGGATGGAGCACGCAAGGGAGACGTGATGATTGGTTGGGAGGCCTCGTCAGCTCGGCCGAGAATTCCTTTGATGTAAAACGGGATAAAAGCAGGATCGAGGAGCCCCGAGTTCAGTTCTCTCCAAGTCAGCGATTGGGGCAGTCAACCCTCCGGCCTCGATTTGAAGTTTTCGTGACTGCAAGGATTCATACTCTTTGGTTTTTTCGGTAAAGTCACGTAGGTAAAAATAAATAAATGAAAAAACAACTAAATTAAATCATGACGTTTTGGAGGTAACACAAGCTTCCGTCTTCAGGTGGAACCTTTACGGCCAAATTCACTGTAATAAGTGAAGAGAGCTAAAAAGAGAGCTAATAGATAAACTATTAGTCCCTATATAGTCGCGTTTCTTTATTAGCTCTCCACTTATTACAGTGAATTTGGCTGTAACGGTTCCACCTGAAGACGGAAGCTTGTGTTGCCTCCGAAACGTCGTTATTTTATTTAGTTGTTTTTTCATTCATTTATTTTTACCTACGTGACTTTACCGAAAAAACCAAAGAGTATGAATCCTCCGGCCACTGGGGCGCAGCCTGGACCCCTCCCCAGCAGGAACTTCATACAGCCTCGTTTCTCCCCGACTCCCCGCACGTCCGGGCATAGCCGTGAGTCCGTGAGAGAGGTGAGAGGTAGCGGAGGGACCTACCGAGGGGTTTAATAGAAATAGGTGAGACGCTGCTCGCTGGGTGATTCTGGCTCCGGGACAGGTCGTGTTTAATTACAGTCGCGTCGGGAATAAACCCTAGCATAAAACACCGACGTTGCGTGGTTCCTGTGGGTGTGAAGAGAGCGTAGGGTGGTGTGAGTACGCACATAAGTGTGGTGATCGGCGCGCATTCACCGATAAACGATCGCGGACGTTCGGGGCAGGTGTGAATAACGAAATACGCGAGGCAGCCCCGTTCGTTTCGCCATTGTGCCCGGGTTTAGCGCGCAAATACCCTCATCAGCGCGACCACCTGTACCCACGTGTTTGCGCTCGCCCAGGCGCGTTGGCTCGGGGATTAATGCGCGTGTGTTGTCATTAATAGTGTGCCGTTACCCTGGTAATTAACGCGCCAACCCTACCATCATTCATTTGGTGCTGCTGGTGGTGGTAGTGCTGGTGGTGGTAGTGCTGGTGGTGGTTGTGGTGGTGGTTATTGTGGTGGTGGTGGTTATTGTGGTGGTGGTGGTTGTTGTAGTGGTGGTTGTTGTAGTGGTGGTTATTGTGGTTGTGGTTGTAGTGGTGGTTGTTATGGCGGTGATTATTGTGGTGGTGGTTGTTGTGGTGGTGGTGCTGCGCCCGTGCATGTTCTTACGGCTATTTTTAGCGCGTGCACGGTGGCGGACAATAGGCGCGGGTGGCTGCGCGTGCACGAGTGTGGGCAGTGGCGTGCATTTGGGGGAGTGTACGTGGGGAGTGTGTGGATAACCCCAGGTGGCCGAGAGCCAGCCACGAGTCATGCCTCACAGGGAGGACGCGGAGGCAGCGAGGCCGAAGACTCGAGCGGCGGCAGCGCGGAGGGAGGGAGGAAGGGGAGGAGGAAGGGGGAGAGGGGTCGGGGAGCAGCAGCCCTCGCACGAGTGAGGAGTCGGGGGGCAGCAGCCCCCACACATCCACACGGACGAACCAGCTTCCCTGGAACACGTTTTTCTGACATCGACTTACAAACTCGCAGCTGCGAACTGAACCGCGGAACTGTTTTGTTCAGCGGACCGATCCTCCGTGAGATGTAAAGAGTCACAGCATCCAGCTCACAGCACTTGCCCCAACAGTCTGTTAAGGCTATACGGGGGATCTTCGTGTTGGGTGTGGAAGTGAGAGCGCGCGCGCGCGCGTGGAGCGGCAGTGCAGTGGTGGCGCTGCGCTGCGCTCCCACTCGGCGACCCGAGTTCGATTCCTGCTCACAACCAACACCACGGTGACGATTATCTGAATGGGTCCTAGGCCTCCCCTAGGACGACTCGGCCTCAAATGAGTACATGGTGCGGAATGTAAACATCGCCACTAGGGAGACAAAGGCGGCCGGGCGTGGTGCTGGCCACCCACCACCTCGTGTGCCATGCCGGCCTGCATAGGCGCTCGCTAACAGCACTTGCCCCAACAGTCTGCAAAGGATACACGGGGAATCTTTGGGTGTCTGTGTGAGTGCAGTTGCGGTGACTCTTTTCGCCTCTTCCGACAAGCAAACCGGCAATCCGGACTCTCGGTAAGTGAAAATAAAGCAGATGGGGTTTTTATTATATTTGTTACTTTGTGTTGTATCTACAATATAGTTTGTATTACGCTACACGCAAATAGAAACATCATCATAATAATACGACTCTTCAATCTTGATTTGAAGCTTTCGTGACAGTAGGAATCCATACTCATTGGTTCTTTCGGTAAAGTCACGTAGGCATAAAATAAAATAGATCACGACGTTTCGGGCGCAACGCAAGCGTCTGTTTTAAAAGGTTTGAAATGGGCGTAGCCCAAGGGTCATAAAGAAGTGGCTGGGTCTCGTGATGTTAATGTGAGAAATTAGCATGTAACTGGGTACGGAAGTAGCTATGATAATGTGAGAGATTAGCATGATGTTAAAGTGAGAAATTGGCATGTAATTGTGCACGGAAGTAGCTATGATAATGTGAGAGATTCGCATGATGTTAATGTGAGGAATTCGCATGTAACTTGGCACGCAAGTGACTATGTTAATGTGAGAGATTAGCATGAAATAACAGCTGACATAGGCAAGTAGGATGTAAACATCAGTCAGTTAAGACTTTACCTGGTTAATAACGTCCTTCCAATGATTGCTCAGATTGTACCCATCATCTCGGTTGAAGTTGTGTGTGTTTATATATCTGGATGGCTTCATGAACAAATCTCTGAAGGTAGCCGGTAGGTTTGCAGAGTACCTCCGTCTTGGAAAAACGCTAAGAAACCCATTAGCAACATCAGCAAGGACGAGCGTTTTGAATTCTTTAAATAAAAAAACAGATATTGTCATCCTCTCAGCCAACAAGGGCAATGCCACTGTCATCATGGATAAAACCACTTACAACAACAAAATTCAGGACCTTAATGATGGCAGCTATACTAAAATCAACAGAGATCCCACCAACTGCCTAGCCACAAAAACCAACAATATCATCACTAAATCGACTTCTCTAATCTATCAGACCAAGCAGCGCTCTCTAAAACCTTCGGCTGCTAGGCCACCCAGATTTTATGGCCTTTAAAAGATCCACAAAGAAGGTACCCCACTCCGTCCTATCATCTCCACCATTAACTCACCCACCTACAAACTGGCCCGATTTCTGTCTGAGACCCTGCTTCCTTTTACAGGCAAGATCACCTCAGCCGTACTTAACTCAGCTCACTTGGCTTCTCTAATCAAGGACATCTCACGGTTTCCAGATGATTTGCTTGTCAGTTTCGATGTAGTCTCTCTGTTTACCAATGGACCTGTACTTGACACCATTGCAATAATTGAAGACTTCATCCAACAAGGACTGAATTCAGATGTACCAAGTCTGGTAAGGCACTGTCTTACCAAAACATTACTTCACCTAGAATGGTACATTCTACAAACAAAATGAGGGTACCCTAATGGGTTATCCCTTATCACCAGTGGTAGCGAATGTTTTCATGAAGAAATTTAAAACAGATGCCATCCACACATCCACCCTACGTCCTTCCTTGTGGAAGAGGTATTTAGATGACACGTTCGTCATCTGGCCACATGGCCTGCCAGCACTGAACCAATTTCTCAACCACATCAATTCCGTGCACCCGTCTATTAAATTCACCATGGATGTGGAAAAGGATGGCAAGCTACCATTCCTTAATGTTTTGATCGAGAAGAGACCTGATGGCTCGTTGGGACATTCGATCTACAGGAAAGCCACCCACACACACATGCCCATCTAAAGCCTGACTCCCACCACAATCCAGCCCAGAAGAATTCCCTCATCAAAACACTACACCATAGGGCCCGTTGCATCTCCGACCAGTACCGCCTAGCTAATGAGTTGGAGCACGTACACCAAGCCCTCAGGATGAACGGATACTCTGACCAGACAATCCACAAAGCTGCCTCCCCAGCCATGGGGAGACAACCTTACGAGGAACCAACCAAAACCATCACTTTGCCATACATAGGTGTTACCAAAAATTTCCTAAATCTTGAACATACAGGATCCAGGTTCGTTTCAACACAAGACACAACATCCGTGATCCAAGCCCATCTGTAAAGGATGTGATTCCTGCCATGCAGTATCCTGGTGTCTACAAACCGAGTTGTGAAAGCAGCTACATTGGGGAAACGAAACATCTCGGACCGCGTTTGTGAACAAGGCAGATCTGAAACACGGTAGGACCAATACAATCGGCCGTTGTCGATC